GGGTTTAGATCCTTGCAGTGTCGGTTTAGAGTTTATGGGATCGTGTTTTGGTGTTGGACACAGCCAGGGTTGGTTTCGAGTTCAGCGGGGGTTGATTTTTGGCTTTTGTGAAGACTGCGTCTTCTCAGGGTGGGTTCAGAGGGTAGGGCGCTTTACATCCAAAGCCCACTCTCTAATCCCAACGCCCTAAACCCTAGTTCTCTCAAGCATGACCTTTTGCAGATCGTCCGCCGTCCATAGCGCGGGATGGATAATCCCGGGACACTTCTGACCTCGAAGAAGCGGGGCTGGTGCTAACTCTTGGACAGGTAGATTTCGCGAGCAAGGCAGGTGCAGTTTACACGCTAGATGCTTTCAACATCTATCTAACCACTTAATTGGTCGTCCCGATGACCGCAGCATTTGTGTGGTGAAGCTAAGCAAGGATTGATACAGACTAGTGTAGGCCAAGTGAGCATCCATGACATCAACAGCTGAATCAACGATTGGCCCTGGATTCTCCAGATGTACAGAAGCACCGCCACCAAAACACTCCATTGCAATGACATCATAATCATCCACATCAGAGAATCTGTTCAAACCCTGAGCCGCAAACCCTAAACTCGAATCCATCAAACCATGAACCCTAAACCCTAAACCCTAAACCCTAAAAACCCCTGAACCCTAAACACCCTAAACCCCTAAAGCCAAAAACCCCTAAACCCTAAACCCTAAACCCCCAAACCCTAAACCTGGCACCCTAAACGCCTATAGCATGAACTCAATTCTGGAGACCTCCGGAAGAAGCCACAAATCGGGCAGACACAGGTCTGTCGCGAATGCAAAGCTGTTTCAGGAAACCATAAAGGACCTGCACTGTACAGTGTGGAAGTGGAGCCGATCCATCTGCGGGATGGGCGATATTCTGTGCTCACGGCGTCCTCCTCGTCGTCCGAGTCGCTGGAGGAGTAGGCTGGAACTGGTTTAGTGTTTGGCCTCACTGGAGGCACCTGTGGGGAGTCTATGACCAGTGCAGTTGGCGCGACCCAGAAGCCAAGCGGGTCGCCAACGAGGTCATGGACAAGGCGACTTCGTACCCAAGGTCTGGGTCAGAAAAGAGAATCAGTGCCGCCTGGGAGATGACGTTGTGGTGGAAGAGCCGGCAGTGACGACCCGCAGCAGCCGCGCCACTGCAAAGTCGAAGGCGGCACCGGACAAGGCGCAGCAGTTCAACGACCCGCGGCACGCGGCTCCCAAGCCTACAAGCCCCGAAACGGCTCGTGGGCCGTCCCTAAACCCAAGGTTTAGGGTGTAGGGTTTAAGGTTTAGGGTTTAGGGGTTTAGGGTTGAGGGTTGAGGGTTTAGGGTTTAGGCCCTAGAGCCCTGAACCTCAAACCCTAAACCCGAAGCCCCAAACCCCAAGGCCCTGAACCCCTGACTTTTTGCGGTTAGGGGTTGGGGTTTCAACTGCATGCTGCTCCAGGGAGAGTCCAGGGCCCCCGTCAGCAAGGAATACAGGGTTTAGGGTTTAGGGCTGAGGGATCCTCGGCAGTTCTGAGGTGAATCAAACTCTAGGTGGCACTTTGGGAAACTTCGTAACTTCCCTTTTGTGGTTCCTAATGGATTAATAGAGGTACCTATTCATAAATACTTTTTAAGGGCCCCAAAACTACGACACGGAGCTGTAAATGGATTCGAACTCGAATGATTGAAGTTTTCCAACTGTTAGAGGCAGATTGCAATGTTGAAGGGTTCAAAGGCTTGGAGCCACGGATTTGCGGGGAGCTTGTAGTATGTCATGACCCTAAACTCTAAACCGTCATGTATAAGGTTTCGAGGTCTTACGTGTACCGGCGGTCGCGTCGAACATTTGCCCGGGTTCAGAGTTTTCTGGGCTCTGCCAAAGCTGTTTCGGGCCAGCTTTGCCTGTGCCTGAAACCCTTCAATCCCACCCAAGCCTATAGGAACCCTAAGCCCATGCAGTGCAGGTAATCCCTCGCTACACACTCCATGAGAGGACGCTGTCTTCTGTGCTTGGGGTATTTTGGGCGAGATCCAGGTTCCCTAGTGGGTTTAGGGTTTAGGGTTTGGCCCTAGTCTTTAGGGCTTTAGGGGTTTGGGTTTAGGGTTTAGGGTTTAGGGTTTAGGGTAGCAGTATCCTTGTGCCATCGGTTTTTCTAGCTCCAGCTGAGCACTGGGACGTGGTGCCATATTGGATGATGACGGGGTGGCCGGGAACCTAGTGATACACAGAGAACCCATGTTTCCCTGGCCCCTAAGGCCTATTACCTGGAAACTATTCATGCGCCCTCTCATAGTACTAGATTGATCATTGACACCTTTACTGGTTATGGGGAGCATCCCAAACCCCAAGCCTTAAACTCTTACTAAAGCCCTCAGCCGATGCAAAATCCGAAAATCTCAACTCGGAGAGGACCTATTGTGTGACGTACGATGAGCTGGAACGGGATCACAAGCGCTTGTTGCAGACCTACCGGCATGTACGCTGCTCGACTCATATGACCTCAGGCCATACATAGCAAGGTATAGTACATTCTGTTTTTTTATATAGTATATACTAGTATATTCCATTATCTTCTAGTATACTACTGCAGCAAGTCGATTATCGTATATTACAATCATTCTATTAAGTATCCTATGGTATTTTGCAGTATAGTACAGTATATTATACTATACTAACGTACATAATCGGTCGCCAAATCTGACTGTGCCCCAAAACCCTATTCTTATTGTGATTACAGCAACTCCTTAAGAGACATCGCAGCCCCGTAGAGAGGGCCACAAGCAAGTTTAGAGTTTAGGGGGGTTTTAGGGGGTTTGGGGTTCAGTTTTTTTCGGTTATCCGATCTCCCCCAAAGCTTTGAGGCTAGCCTGAAAACCTGAACCCCCGCACCCCTAAACCGTAAACCCTAAACCCTAAACGCAGCCGCATTGTCTCCCCAAGCCCCAAGCACTTCAACACCCCAGCACCTCGAGGCTACATGTGGGTACCGTACACCGACACCATCGTCGTGGTGGTTTCCGATGTTGCCGAGCCTGGCGCAGAGGCACGGTTTTCTTGACACTATGGGTGTCAAAGCTTGTTCTGGCACACATGTCGGAACCCCCAAAAAATAGTAGTACTACTTGTTTACGCGACTACCTGTATGCCGTTTGTGTTTCATTTTGTTTGTTGATTAATTCGGGTAGTTGTTGTCATAGTTAACAAAAGTTGTCAAGCTTCTAAATATTATCCTGGGAATGATTACAATGATTGGTATTTTACTATCATTACTTTCCACTATCCTGCACGACATTTCTTCGGTTTGGTGTTTTTGAAAGGGGTCTTTGGGCAGGAGTGGCAGGGCTCGGTTGGGTATGTCACTTCAGGGCGTAAGGGTGGAGATTTAGGTCTTTTGGCTTCCAGGTTTTGTAGCTTTTCAAGCTTGAGACTGAGAGTTAGGGTTCACAACATGAAGGTTCCCGATCCTACGGTGGATGATATAAATCCTGCATTATCCACAGTAAGGAATATGCCGTAATTCCCATCGTTGAGGTCCTTAAGGTACTGCAGGATTTTTCTCCCATCAACAGTAGAACCCTAAACCCTTTGAGCCCCTAAACCCGTAAACCCCTAAACCCTAGGATCCTTCAAGGAGCCGAAAGCCCCGAAGCCTGAACCACAAGTATTCGGGCTTTTTCGGGTTTGGAGGTTGCGCTGCTGAATGGTTTGCAGTGAAGGCTTGGGTGAGGCATTTTGGGTTCAGCACGTGATATTTAGCCCGTCTCCGAAGAACCGTAAACGTTGTGAGGTGGGACATGGCCCTAAACGGCCCTATAAAGTTTAAAGCCTAAGCCCTACTTGTAGACCTTTCATGGCGGCCTCAAACTAAATGAACCCTACATGGCCCCAAACATTAAACCCTACACGCAAAAACCCTAAATAGCCCTAGACCCCATCACACAAACCCTTAACGGAACCTTCCGAGGAGCCGGGCACCCTTAAAAGCAATCCTTACAGGAGCCTTTATAGGAACCTCAAAGGCACCCCTCAAAGGACCCTTGTAGAAGCATCAAAGGAAGCATAGAAACCTAAACTCCAAACCCGCCCCCAAACGTTAAACCCTACACCCTAAATCCTAAGCCCTCAACCCTAAACCCTACCTAAACCCCAAACCCCTAAACCCCAAACCCCTAAACCGTAAACCCTCAACCCCGAAGCCTTAAACCCTAAACCCCTCAACCCTAAACCCCATACCCTGTACCCTAAACCCTAAGCCCCAACGACCCGCAAGACACCCTCAAGGCGAAGCCGGCGCTTCCCGAAGAGGGGCGGGTGGAACCTTTGAAGGCCGGAGCACTACGGTTGATGATAAAAAACCTGCATTGCCTTAAGGGTTTAGGGTTTAGGGTTTTAGGGTTTAGGGGTTTAGGGTTTTAGGGGTTTAGGGGTTTAGGGGTTTAGGGGTTTAGGGGTTTAGGGTTTAGGGGGTGCAGTTGATGATAAAAAACCTGCATTACCTTAAGGACCCTAAACTATGGGAAGTATGGTAGATTCCTTATTGTGGGTAACGCAGGATATCAGGGTACTGTCAGGGTATTATAGGGGTACTAGAAGGTATTATAAGGGCACTATAAGGGTACTGTAAGGGTACAAAAAGGGTACTGGTACTGTAAGAGCACTGTCCTCGATTTGAGGATTCTGAGGGTTTTTACGGGTTTAGCGGAGGGGAGGTTAGGGGTTTGGGGTTTAAACCCTACACCCTAAACCCTAAACCGGGTGTTTAGGCGTTAGGGGGCTAAAGGGTTTGGGGTTTAGGCTTCAGCTTGCCAGAAGCTCCAGGCCCCTTTCCTTAACGAAGGGAACCATACCGGAGCATACCTTACATCATATCCAAGGATCCCCTCATGAATTTAGGTACATCTTCCAGAAATAAAATCTTGCATCATGTTTGAGGTAGTTTTGGTATACATATATATATATATACATATATATACATATTCCTTAATTAAGGGTTCTGGCAGGAGCTGTTGAGAACTCTGGTGGAGGCACCCTGGCTTGATATAAGGCGGTTTGAGGGTTTAGAGGAGTTTTTCGTGGCTCCGACTTTTTGCGCTCTTTACAGCTGATGGACCATATCCTGCATTGTCCGCTCCGTATTTACTTCCATATACTGTTTCGAAAGAACTGTACTCAGCAGAAGGTCTGCGCTGGGTCTTTAAACTCTAAACCCTACACCCTAAACTCCTAAACCGTACACCCCAAACCCTAAACCCTAACACCTAAACCCGAAGGGCATGGTTTTTTTCTTATGCCGTGGGTTTCTCACCCTTATGCTCCCGGCTTTTTCAATGGGGCCGACTCCCCACCGCCGTCCCACCTGGCCCTTGCGCCATAAGCTCGAAATCATAAAACATGGCCAGCTTAGCATAAAAGCAGAAACCAGAGAAGCCTCGGGCATTAGAGGAGAACCCATTGAGCATAAGCGAACAGCCGTGTCGGAGACGGGATGGAGGCATGCGGGTCGATGGAGACATGGAGGTGGCCAGCATATAAATAAAGACCTTGAGCATAAAGATTAAAACCAGCCCAAACCCGAAACTCTAAGCCCCACCTTCACGCCATTTGGGAGGGCCAATCAAAAGTTGGAAACCCAATAGCCTCAATACTTCAGAGTGATGTATAAGGAACCTCAGCACTAATTGCATTTAATCCGGTTTCTGGGGTTCACTGTAAGCCATCCCCAACCCTAAACCCTAAACCCTATACCCTATACCCTATAAGCCCTAAGCCCTAAACCCTAAACCCTATAAGCCCCAAACCCTGAAGCCCAACCTCTGAGGACTGTGGCGACCTCGAAGGTAAGAACTTCGCACAGCTGCGAGAAAGGCACGGCAAACAAGACTTCCGCACCGGGCAGTTGAGGAGGGTCTAGGGTTAAGGGTTTAGGGTCCCGCGGTTTAGGGTTTCTGTTGTTGTGAAAAGGATGTTTATACGGGTGAATATGGTATAGATGGGTTGTATGGGACGTCAGCTAGACCCTCCCAGCCCTAACCTCACCCGCAGCTGCTGGCAGGGACTTGCAAAGACTAGAGATTCGCGTGGTTTCGTCAAGGTTTCCTGGACGTGTTCGGCAACACTCAAGCTCAAAAGATCCCCTAAACCCTAAACCCTAAACCCTAAACACCCTAAACCCTAAACCCTAAACCCTAAACACCCTAAACCCTAAACCCCCTAAACCCTAAACCCTAAACCGAACCACAAGGCTTCAACCCTCAGCCTTGAGGCCTCAAAGCCCTGAACCCTGGGCCCCTAAAAGCCTGCAGTCCCTGAGCTCTAGACCCTGAACCCTTGAATTTAGGCTTTGGGTTTAGGGCTTGGGGTTTAGGTTGCAGGCTTTTAGGGTTTAGGGCTTAGGGTTTAGGCGGTTTAGGGTTTTGGGTTGAGGGTCCGTAAACCCAAAGCCCACAACCCCGAAGCCCTTGAACCCTGGGCACATAGACGGTACAACCTCCTAGGCTGCTGGAGCTGGACCCATTGGACCCGGCCCATGTTGCGAAGGCCCTTTGGGTTCCTGACAAAGGCACTTTGTGCATGTTCCTTGAAGGGTTCTATGAGTCATGAGGGTTTTATGGGGATCTGTGCAGGGTTTAAGGATTTTGGTGGGTTTAGGGGTTTAGGCTTTTAAAGCTTCGGGAATGGGAAAGGCTCAGAGGTTTAGGGGTGTCCCATTTAATGGGTTTCGGGTTTAGGCTTTAGCGTTTCTCGGGTTAGAGGATTTGAGCTTGCAGCGGGAACCATCCTAAACCCCAATCCCAATGCGCGACTCACCCTCAACCCCAATCCCAAGACGAATCCCAACCCTCAAACCCTGGACCCTCCACCCTAAACCTTAAACCCCCAAAAACCCTAAACCCTAAACCCTAAACCCTAACCCTAAACCCTAAACCCCTAAACTCTGAACCCCGCAAACCCGGCCCTCACTCCCCACCTCAAACCGTCACCGCAAGACTCCCAAACCCCAAGCTCTCAGCCCCAATCCCTTCAACCTTACCACGCGGTTTAGGGTTTAGGGGTTTAGGGTTTAGGGGTTTAGGGTTTAGGGTTTAGGGATGACAGGGTCGAAATACAATCAAAGGGGAGAAAATACAACCACACGGGGGAAAACACAACTGAACCACTATTTTGGGCTCTCCCAAACAGGGGAAAGTACAACTGGCTATTCCGGTGGCTCTATAAGTTTGGACATGCTCTGCAGAAAACCCATGGTACAGATTTAAGGTGCCAGTACCAAAGCTGGATACTGGTGGTTGTGATTAGTCCCTTTTTCTTTGCGCCCTGGCACCAATGAGGACTTAACATGTTTATGGTGCGAAAGGCATGTAGGCAATACTTAACATGCTTATTTCGGTTTGTATGCTTTCTGTCATGTAAATGCAAAAGGCATGTAGGCAATACTTAACATTATTATTTCAGTGTGTATGCTTTCGGTCATGTAAATGCACAAGGCATGTAGGCAATACGTAACATGATTATTTCGGTTTGTATGCTTTCGGTCATGTAGGCGCGAAAAGCATGTAGGCAATACTTAGCATGACTTTTTCGGTTTCTATTCTTTCTGTCATGTAGGTGCGAAAGGCATGTAGGCAATCCCAACGACCCCTTACATCTCAAATAAAGCCCCAAAGACCCCTTACATCTCAAATAAAGCCCCAAAGACCCCTTACATCTCAAACAAAGCCCCAAAGACCCCTTACATCATAGATACAGCCCCAAAGACCCCTTTCAGCTCAAATAAAGCCCCCAAAGACCCCCAGTTGTATTGTCACACATCTGGTTGTATTTTCCCTGATCTGACTGAACCAACTTCTAAAGATTTCAGTTGTATTTGTACCCATCTGGATGTATTTTCCACCGTCTAGTTGTAATTCGCCTTATTCTCGGAATTAGGCTTTAGAGTTTAGAGCCTGAGAAATGAAACCATACCGCAAGCATAAGCGAAAGCCAGACGATAAGCAAGAAATCCGTCGCAAAAAAAAACAGCAACAACGGCAACAACAGGGACCGCCGAAACAACAGAGCCCTAAACTCTAAACCCAAAGCCCTAAACCCTAATCCCTAACCCCCTCCCCCCCAAAAAAAAAACTCAACCCTACACCCTATACCCTAACCACCCCCAAAAAAATTAGAAAAAAGCCCAAAAGCAAACAAAAAAAGAACACCCCCCTCAAAAAAAAGAGCAAAAACAACAAAAACAACAAACAAAAGGTGAACGAGGCAGAGGCGGAGTTCTGGCGGCGGAGTGCCGGGGAGCGGATCGCAGACTCCACGGAGACTTCGCCGCATTGAGTTTGGGGGAGGTTTAGGGTTTCAGGGTTTAGGGTTTATGGTTTAGGGTCTAGGGGTTTAGGGTTTTAGGGTTTAGGATTTTAGGGGTTTTGGGTTTAGGGTTTCGGGTTTAGGGGTTTAGGGTTTTAGGGTTTAGGGTGTCGAGTTTAGGGTTTAGGGTTTAGAGGTTTAGGGGTTTAGGGTTGAGGGTTTAGGGTTTAGGGGTTTACGTAGGGTTTTGGAGAGTTGAGGGCCCCAAAAAACCCTCAAC